AAAGTCACCAGGAAGCCAAACAGGATCTGAAGGAGATTTTTCTCTACAAGAAAAAAATAACAATCCTGTAGATATTTCGCAAGTGGGCAAAACACTGAATCAGGAGAAGAACCAAAGAAATGAAGCAATACCTAGAACGAAGTTTACTTATCTTGTTTTATTCACAATAAGTGCCTCAGTTCAGTTACATACAAAAAAAATCCCGCATAAATATCATTCTGGAAATGATTTTCAAACAGTGGTTAATTCCAGCCCCACCCTGATAGGGTGCTTGGGCTGATTCAAAAGGTACACAAACCCGGAATATTTCATCTATGAATAATAACTTAATCTTCTTTTCGCTCGAAGTAAGTTCATAACCATAAATATTTTGGGGGGTTATTTCAAGAGACGGTTTGCTGGCGTGGAAGTTCTCCCCTTCGCTTTGAGCGAGTTCAAAACCTCAAAACTCTTTCTAGAAACGGCAGCACGTCGGTGGCTGCATAGAAATCCTCTTTGGAGCAAGGTTTGAGAAGGCTCCCAGTCCATCTGTGGTTTTCAGGCAGCAAACCTATGAAATAAATCACAAAAGTTCGTCAGCGATCTCTCCCAGACAGCACAAAGTCCTAGCACAGTGTTTCTCAACCTTGACAATTTTAAGGCACGTGGACTTCAACTCCCAGAATTCCACAGCCAGCATTGCTGGCTGTGGAATTCTGGGAGTTGAAGTCCACGTGCCTTAAAATTGTCAAGGTTGAGAAACACTGCAAGTGTTCAAGGTTACACAAGCATCTTTATAAATAGCAAATTAGGGCATAATGCTAGGGGTTTTTTTTTCTTCCTACCACGTTCACTCTTGAACAGTCTTCCCCTACATATATTTGAAATGAGAGTGCTGATAATTAGGGATTAAATCATTGCTACTATTATACATTTTTATCGTGGTACAGTGAATCACGTTTGGGTGTGATTTGTTGCACAGTGGCAGGGTTCATACATCACCGAAAGCCTGTGTAGGCAACATGGTTAGATTATATGATCTTTATGCTAAGAGAGAAACGGAGAGAGGGAGAAGGGAAAATAGGAAGAGAAGGAGGGAGGGAGGGAGGGAGGGAGAAAGGAAGGAAGGAAGGAAGGAAGGAAAGAGNAAAAAAAGAAAAGAAAGAAAGAAAGAAAGGTCCACCTTCCAGATATATTATAAAAGGAAACATCTTACCTCTGACTGCTTCCTAGGGTGCGTTTCTCCACACCTTAGCTCCGGTTGATGCGTTCCATAATTTCGTTGTATTTGGCCGTGACAGCAAGGGCTCTCTGGGTCAAATGATGGAGGACACGATACAGACTCGACAAGTGGTAATAAAATATGTCTTCCAGGCTGTCCTCCTCCATGTTCTCCTGCTTCCCTTGAGGAGCCACGGGTAGCTGTTTCTCTCTTCTCAGGGGTAAGAACCCGCCTTCCAGCATCCCCTTGCCGGATTTCAGCAGCGTAAAATGTTCAAACAAATCTTTGCCGGCCGAGTCGGCCCCGAAAGCATCTTCCAGGTCTTCTAAGGAGACCCCACGAAGGAGGCTGGGGAACATCACAGTCTGCTCCATCTTCTGGATGGCAGACACGTACTTCTCCGTGGCTGCAGAAGCGAGAAGTTCTGGGAGCTGGAAGTCAGCTGGCATCGTCAGGTCCTTCACCGAGCTGGGAGACGGGCAAGGAGCAAAAAAAGGTGGAGCAGGCTGCCGGGTGGTTGAGGACCATTTATGTAGCCAAGCTGGGCAGCAAATCATCTCCCTTCGGCGTGATCAGCATGAGTTCCATCAAAGGACACACCTTGTTTTCCAGCCAATCAGACCTTCCTCCCCCTGGACCTTTCTGTGCAGTTGGCAAGGTGGGTTTATTGACAGGTTGCAAGGCTTCCAACTTGGGCCTCTTCCAAAGGTTTGACCCCCAGAGGGCGTGTGGGGCTGTGCCAAGGGATGACAGCTGAGTCATGTTGGACAAGCTCAGCTGGGCAGATTGGAAAATGCCCAATGGAAAACTTTCTGCCAAAGCTTGAGAAAGGATTGCAACAGGAGCCTTACAGACATGGATACTCCATAAGACACAGAAATCATGCATGGTACAGGTGCTTACATCAGCTCCCGTGGATGTGTAATAATACCTGATCAATCACAATAGAGCTGGAAGGGACCTTGGAGATCTTCTAGTCCAACCCCCTACTCAAGCAGGAGAATCTATACAATTTCAGACAAATGGTTGTCCAATCTCTTCTTAAAAATCTCCAATGATGAAGCGCCCACGATTTCTGGAGGCAAGCGGTTCCACTGGTTAATTGTCCTCACTGTTAGGAAGTTTCTCCTTAATTCCAGGTTGCGTCTCTCCTTGATTAGTCTCTTGCCAAATTGTCCATTAGCTTGCAATTTGCAATTTAATATCACGTCTGATGTCTGTGAAGCTGTCTGGCTTTTAGAAGAGTTTTTTAAATCTATTATTTGAGTTGTGTATAACTTTATTTATGGTTTTGTTGTATTTATATAGCCAAGCATCTCAACATAGACATTGGAGAATAGCACAGATCGTCCTTGAATCAATCAATCAATCAGGATAGATCTGGAAGGTACCTTTGAGGCCATCTAGTCCAGCCCCTGCTCAAGCAGGAGACCCTATACCATTTCAGATAGGTGGTTGTGCAGTCTATTCTTAAAGACATCCAGTGATGAAGCACCCACAACTTCTGGAGGCAAGTGGTTCCACTGGTTAATTGTCCTGTTAGGAAGTTTCTCCTGAATTCCAGGTTGCTTCTCTCTCCTTGATTAGTTTCCATCCATCGTTTCTTGTCCAGCCTTCAGGTGTTTGGGAGAATAAATTGACCCCTTCCAAAGGTGCTGTCATGGTTCCAATAGATGAAACCAGTCAAAAGAACTTCCAAGGCAAGATTTTCTTCCTTAAAGAACATTTTATTAGGAAACAAAGTATCGGCACTTACATAGTTGAACCCAAAATTGAAATTCCCTCCTCCCAGATACAAAGTAACAAGTTACACTTCCTGCCCCACAAAAGCTGTCGAAAATCACATTCCCCAATCAGCACAAAACGCGGGCTTTTCTCTCCGGCTCTTCAGCCCGCCAAAACCTGATCAACCATGTCCTTGAAATCCCACACGACTGCATTTTTTATGGCTAGCTAAATCCTCAAGCATTTGCCCCATTCCCCCATCCTACATCTAAACCAGTGTTTCTCAACCTTGACAATTTTAAGGCATGTGGACTTCAACTCCCAGAATTCCAGAGCCAGCATTGCTGGTTGTGGAATTCTGGGAGTTGAAGTCCACATGCCTTAAAATTGTCAAGGTTGAGAAACACTGATCTAAACTCTAAGGCACTTTAGAAGCAAAGGTAAAATGGCTGCTGAATCTTAGTTGTCAGAGCGTGGACATCCATTGTCACAGCGTTGACAGGTGCTTTTTCAGGAGGCAACTGGACTTTCTTGATTTTTCTTTGAAGACGTTTCGCTTGTCATCCAGGAAGCTTCTTCAAGCTCTGACTGGATGGTGGGGAATGGAAGGATTTATACTCCTTGCAGACAGCCGGTCATTTGCATCCTTTTAGAGGATCATTGAGGCCACCTGGACGGTTTAACAGGGTCACCTGAGTAGTGCAAATGGGTGTGGAGCCTTCTTGGGACTGCTGAGAGGACTGTGTTGTGTAGTTGTGCTTTCTGCAGGATGATTCTGCAGCTCCACAACACAGTCCCTTTTAGCAGTTCCAAGAAGGCTCCACACCCATGTGCACCACTCAGGTGGCCCTGAGGACACAGATAAATCTCCAAGTGGCCTCAATGACCTTCTAAAACAGTGGTTCTCAACCTTTTTAATGCCGCGACCCCAACCGGTCGTAAGTCGAGGACTAAACCGGTCACAAGTCGAGGACTAAACCAGTCGTAAGTCGAGGACTAAACCGGTCGTAAGTCGAGGACTACCCAACTGGTCGTAAGTCGAGGACTTTTCCTGCCCGGGAGCGCTGCGCATGTGTGGTTCCGCCCCCTGCGCCGGCCGAGGCGTAGCTGGCAAGCGGCAGACATGGAGCAGGCCGACCACCAGCTGGCCCAGCCCAAGGGAGGTAAGGCACCCACCGGAAAAGGGGGAAAAAAATGGCGGACAAAAAAAATGGCGGACAGCCTTGCTTGGTAACCCCCGTGAAATGGTCGATCGACCCCAAATGGGGTCCCGACCCACAGGTTGAGAACCACTGTTCTAAAAGAAGGCAAATGACCAGCTGTCTGCAAGGAGTATAAATCCTTTCCTTCCCCACCCTCCAGTCAGAACTGAAGAAGCTTCTTGGGATGAGAAGCGAAAGATCTTCAAAGAAAAACAAAAAAGTCCAGTTGCCTCCTGAAAAAAGCACCTTTGGGACAATCCCTGACCTGGATAACTGAGAAGCTCCACGGACAATTGGCCTTACACAATTTTCCACCTCCCCCTCTTCTCCTTCCTCTTGATGCATTCCTCCCTTCGTCCCACAAAGCTGTTTTAGACTCTGGACTGAATCTCCTGATGCAATTCCATTGCTTCACTTCGGTCCCATCTGCATCATCCAGATTCTCGTCATCCGGCTAAATCAGGCCCTGGATTTCTGCCCTCAGACCTTGCCCAGATGGGACGGTCCCGGCTTGGCAGGAACAGGAACGCCGCAAGAAGGTAAACTTGCCACGAACGAGCCACATCCCGGCGGCGTGGCTGTTGCGACACAGGTTGGTGTCTCTTTCGGGACGAGGTTGAGCTACCAAATCCCTTGAGGGACCTTGATTCTAGTTAAAAGGGGCTGTGTGGAAATGACATGGGGGGCAGGCTTTAGCACTGTGATAACACTACGGGGAGTCCTCGGCTTACAACGGTTCACTTACTGACTGTACAAAGTTACAACGGCACTGTAAAAAGGGACTTATGACCGTTTTTCACACATTGCGACTCTTGCAAGATTCCCCGCGGTGACGTGATCAAAATTCAGACGCTTGGCCACTGACTCATATTTATGACGGTTGCAGTGTGTCCCGGGGCCACATGATGCCTTTCGGCAATCTTCTGACAAGTAAAGTCGACGGGGAAGACAAATTCACTTAACAACCATGTTACTAATTTAACAACTGCAGGGATTCGCTGAACAACCCTTTGGCAAGAAAGGTCGCAAAATGGAGCAAAACTCACTTGACAAATGTTTCACTTAGCAACAGAAATTTTGGGCTCAATTGTGGACGTAAGTCGAGGACTACCTGTAGAGGGGTTCTTTTTTTTTTTTTTAGAAAGGGAAAGAAGCTTGTCAATTTCTCTTGCTTTTGAAAAGGAATTGGCTGCCCTAAATAAAATAAGAAATAAAAAGAACGTGCCCCAGCTGAAAACTTTATTCTAACCCAGGGGTAGGCAACCTTGGCTCTTTTATGACTTGTGGACTTCAACTCCCAGAATTCCTCAGCCAGCATGGGGGAACTATGGCCCCTTCATGACTTGGGGACTTCAACTCCCAGAATTCCTCAGCCAGCATGGGGGAAGTATGGCCCCTTCATGACTGGTGGACTTCAACTCCCAGAATTCCTCAG